CCATTTGCAATAATTTTAAATCTGCTATCCGTGTAGTTGTCAGCACAAGTCGGGTTCACTAGTAAATGCTGGCCAAGCACTGATTCACATTTTGGTGGTAGAACATTTTGTTTTACAGGAGCGACATGGTTAATTATTTTCTTTCACACTCTTATTTCTTATGAATGTGGGTACATGTTGTTTAATTCTATCCTGCAATCTTTGTGAAGTGCTATCTACGTACCGACATTCGCAGTTGCACGAGAATTCATAAATAACCATAATTTTCTGTGTGGTAGGTATCGCACCTTTGTGTGTTCCAGGCAACAGCTTACGAGGTATGTCTGCAAACTTACAACGCCAGAAACCGGGTTTCGATACCCGTGGTGGGTAGAGCACAGATAGCCCATTGTGTAGCTTTGTACTTATCTTCAAACAAATAAACTATCTTTATCTATGAGTTCCTGTAAAAGTATCTATTCTGTACAATTTTGTTTGCTCGCACCAAAGCCTACATTACAATAATAGCTTCAAGAAATATTTTCTATACAGCGGCTTGTGTTTGTTTGTTTATTTGTAACGAAAGTTTTTAAATCTCTTGACCACTGATTCTAAGAAACTTTTAGAGTTTCTTGGGCATGCCTCAAAAGAATAATAAAATTCTTTAATTTATTCAATTTTGTATTTTAATTTCCCCCCTTGTTATTGAGTTAGTGCCTAATTCACGAATTCTTATCGCTTGAGGGCTGGGTGTGCACCAGTAATTAGTGTGCTAGGCTGTTGAGCCGGGAGTTCATGGATCATCTCCCGTTGCCACAAAAAACGTTCTCTACAGTTTATTAATTTTCTCATTTTTATGAGTTCGGTTTCAGTTTTCCATTTGCTACTTGTAATATTAGTACCTTTTTTTAAATTGTCGTTTACGCTTTAGGAAAATAAAAAATAGTTCAGAATACAAGAAAATGTTGAATTTTTTTAATGTAAAAATGAATAATATAGTAATCGGTAAATTCTATTCATCCATAAGCGATTATTTTTATACATCGTTCAATGCCACGTGTGACGCAGGTAATTTTGTTTGTTTGTTTTGAATTTCGCGCAAAGCTAAACGAGGCTATCTGCGCTAACCGTCCCTAATTTAGCAGTGTAAGACTAGAGGGAAGGAAGCTAGCCATCACCACCCACAGCCAACTCTTGGGCTACACTTTTACCAACGAATAGTGGGATTGACCGTCACATTATAATACCCCCACGGCTGAAAGGGCGAGCATGTTTGGTGGGATGGAGATTCGAACACACGATCCTCAGATTGTGAGTCGAGCGCCCTAACCACCTGGCCATGCCGGGCAGGTAATTTTGTTAACTAATAATAAATTTATGACGTAAGCATTAAATAAAACTGTTTTAATCTTCTTATTTGCCTTCATAACTATTAAAATGTTTATTTTCAATATAAAAAAACAGGAAATAAATTGTGTGGCACAGTAAATTTTATTTGTATTTAGAGTGCTGTGAGCTTTTCTAAATTTGTTTGTTTAAGCGCAAAGTTCGACAATGGGCTACTTGTACTGTGGCCCACCGTAGGGATCAAGCCCTGATTTTTAGGGTTATAACTCCTCAAGCTTACCTTTTGGTATGGAAATATTGAAGAAGACATAACTGTTTCACAATAAAATGGCACAAAGACATCGAATATTTGTCAAGGTAAGGTTGTAATCGTTATACTTACTAGCATCTGGAAGTTGTATGTTTTCCCTAGGTGTACTATCATCATTGAAAAGGACCAGGATTGGCTGTTTGTTCACGTGATGCTGATGCCGTTTAGCAAACCGTAGAACTCCGTTCCGGACTCTTTCACCAGTCATCGTCCTTGCGGTAACAAGAAAACCTAGAAACAAAGAGTGATATACTAGTGCTAAATGATTAAATGTACAAGAAAGTCACATGCTTTTTCAAAGAAGTTCGGTTATTTAATCTCGTTAGCTGATTGAATAAGTGGTAATATGTAATACACTACAGCCTTTAAACATATCAAAAATGTGAATATCAAACACTGAACGAGAGTGTATTAAAACATGAATTGAAAAGTTCTAGTTACATTGAAATGGATAGCTTGTTGAGCTAGCTATTGCCAAATTACCTATAATAACTTTATGTTTAGCAGAAAGATCAGCATAAGAATAGACAGTGAGTAGTTTTGGTTTGGTTTGTTATGAATTTCGCGCTAGCCGTCCCTGATTTAACAGAGATATTAAAATGTGATACCTTGTGAAGAATTGTTATAACTTTATGTATTCTATTTTTATTAGGTAAAATGTAATAAAATATAAAATATTGCTATTTTGTCTGTAAATTTTACAGAAAAATAAAATATTTTCAGGAATTCTTGCGATCCCATTTCAAACCTTCCGCAATCCACATTTTGAGGAACCTTGCTTTATGTTGTTAACAACTTTCACTGGCAAAATATGGATCCAAATGTATTCCACTAATCATTTTACCAATAGAAATATTGCCTCGTGGTGACATCATGTCTAGATTTCTAACTATCGTACTGTATCGCTTTTGCAATACGTCATATTGGACGCTTCTCATCTTCACCCAAGTGGCCCTACTTTTAACTAAGTTTGTTTGTTTGGTTTGAATTTCTCGCAAAGCTACACGAGGGATATCTGCGCTAGCCGTCCCTAATTTAGCAGTGTAAGACTAGAGGGAAGGCAGCTAGTCATCACCACCCACCGCCAATTCTTGGGCTACTCTTTTACCAACGAATAGTGGGATTGACCGTCATATTACAACGCACCCACGGCTGAAAGGGCGAGTATGTTTGGTGGGACGGGGATTCGAACCCGCGTCCCGCAGATTGCGAGTCGAGAGCCCTAACCACCTGGCCATGCCGGGCCAGTCCTTTTTGATGTCTAGAAGTATGTGTGAAGATACTTTACTAGGTACAAGAAAAATCATTTTTAGTAAATGACATTATTCTTACGGACAGCAGATGCACGTGCACATAATTTACTTTGGTCAACTTTGCCCACCGCGAAGAATCAAACCCCGGATTTTAGCATCTTAAGAAACCGTAAACTTAAACCATGACCCATCGGGAGACGAATTAAGATAGATAGAGAGGAAGAACTAATTCAGGTCTGAAGTTTATTTCCGGTATTGTTTATTATTCAATCGGCATCGGACATTATTTTCAATAGAATAGTTTTTAAAGCTACAAAATAGAACAAAATCCTGTTTATCTTTTAGATTTTCCAGTCACTTCGAGCTCTCTCTTCGTGTGTGATACCAAAGCCTAGAGGAACGTGTGTTAGAAGCCAATGAAGGTATTCTCCAACAAGCCTTCTGAAAATTAACTCAAAAAGCTTTTCTTTAGTCGCTATGGTAACGGAAATGGATGATCTTACTTGGTATCTTAGATCAGAGGCTTTGTTGACGTCGATTCTCCCGACTGTTCAGGAAGTGGCTAGCTATGTTTGAAGTCTCTAAACACAGTCAAAAGATGGGATGAAGAAAACGAGTAAATACGATCAGCTCACAAGATGTATTTTAAAATATTTCTATTTCTACTTTCTCTGTATTATGTTTCTTAATACAAAAAGGCTTTTCAAAGATATGTGTTATACAAAGTTGTATAACAGATGCATCATCAGTTATCATTACGAAAAAACGTCTTGTGTCGACATTAAGAAGTTTCTAATGTTGAATCACAAATAACTAGCAGTGTCTAATATTTAGTCACAGTAGTAAGCAGTTTCAAGTGACGATTTACAATATTTAGCAGTTTCTAGTGTTGAGATACGGTCAATCTAAACAGTTTCTAATGTTGAGTCACCAACAACTAGCAGTGTCTAATATTTAGTCACAGTAGTAAGCAGATTCAAGTGACGATTTACAATATTTAGCAGTTTCTAGTGTTGAGATACGGTCAATCTAAACAATTTCTAATGTTGAGTCACCAACAACTAACAGTGTTTAGTGTTGAGTCACCAATAACTAACAGCGTCTAGTTTTGAGTCAAGAATAATTATAATTTCTAGAATTGAGATACCAATAAATTTATACAGTTTGTAATGTTGAGTCACCATTAACTAATAGTGTCTAGTGTTGAGTTATAAGATCTAGCAATACCTAGTAGTAAGACTTCAAAAATTAAAAATGTCTAGTGTTGTGTCATTAACGGTAGTGTTTAGTCACGAATAACTAACAGTTTCTAGAGTTGACCAGTCAATAATAAACAGTGTCTATAGTTGATATATTAAAATTAAAATGATTTCAAGCGTTGAGTTACCAATACCTTACGGTGTATACTGTTGATACATCAATATCAAACAGTATCTAATGTTGAATCAACAAAATGTAACAGTATTGTTATTTACAGCGCCTTATTTATAGTACTTATACTAACAGTTCCTGTATATAATTCCAATCTTAACAGTACGTATGCCTGATATGCCAGTGGGTATGGTTAGTCTTTACAAACACCATCCAGAAATAGACTCTAGGCTTATCGTTATGAAAACAAATGATATACAATTCAAATATAATAACAAATATGATACAATATCATATACTTGTACAAATATTTTATGTGATTTAACTTGATATTGTAAAATTACTGTGTTTGCTGAGGATAAAGTATTAACATTTTGCTTTGCTAAAATATAAGAATCGAAATTTCAAATTAAAGCGATTAGTGAACATTAGTAAACTGAATTTATAAAAACAAGTTATCTGTTAGTATAACTAAAATAAAATATATTCTTTAATTAGAAATAAAATGATTATAAATGAAAATTATTTTAACTTGTATATTCATAGTAATGCATTTATAAATAATAACAACTGTAAATGTTCGCAATTTGAAAGAGTGAATATTATAAAATATTTAGGCTTACAAACCAATAATAATTAGGGCTGGAAATAGCATATTAGATATTTGGCAAAAACACTAAGGTTTATATTCATTAAAGTTTATTGTATGAAAAAAGTGTTAAGCGAGTAGATGTTAAGAATTCTTTATTTTTCATTCATACAGTTAGTAATTAAGTATGAAATTTTGATATAGGAAGATAATTTTCCAATGTATAAAATCCAACTGTTTCATCGTAGAATAATATTAAAAATGTAACATCATATAATGGTAAAGATTAAACAGTTTATAAGAGGTTTATTAATAATATTAGGTCGTCAAGAAATTAATGTCGTGTTTTGGAATACTTTCATTAACCCCCCCCCACCCCCAAAAAACGTACATCACGTATAATAGTTAAACGGTCCGCCTAAACGTCACGTTAGTGTAGCCTATATAATG